CCGAGAAGCCAAAGGTCATGCAAAGCCGGTAGGAAAAATACGCCCAACGATTTCAAGGGACCGGGGCGCTGAGGTTTAGACTGCGCGTGTTTTCAACGCCCTGCCTACGTTTGAAGCCGTGTCTCGAATTCTGAGGAGTTTTTGGAGCCCAGGGAGCAGAACCTGCCCGGCAAGCACGCAGCGCCGGCGGAACCAAGCTGGGCCCTGCTGCATCCTAAGGAGGTGTTGGAGCAGGAGAGCCAGGCTGGGATCCGCCCACGTCTTGCTGCGACTCCTCATTCGCTGCCGACCTTCGGGCGTCAGTGACGTCACCACGCTCGCTGTTCCGGAAGTGCGCGTCACCGCGAGGCGCCGGGCCGGTAAGCGGGCGTTCGCGGCGGGAGGGGTCTGCAGTCCCTCCTCTCCCCTCCTCGCCCCACTCCCGCACTGGCCGAGCGAGGCCGGGGAGAGGCGGCAGCGAGGTGCGGGCTGAAAACGCTCAGGGTGGAGGTCGTGTCCCCGCCACGTCCCACTGACCGCGGACGCTGATTCATCGGCCTTTGTACTGCGCTTTCCCCTCCTCGCGCTTTGTCTCCAAGGGTTTTTCTCGCTAAGCTTTTGTGGGGACGGGACCTGTCCTTTTGGGTTCAGGATCCCCAGCGATTTCTTGGGTTGAGGTGGAAGTGGAAGGGAAGGACAGTCGGACTTCACTGCCCACGTGGCCAGAGTGAGGGGAACCCGCCCCCTTGTGGGAGATGCCACACCTGCTCTCCCAGGACGGGGCAGATCGTCCCAGTCACTCACCTTGGGGTCTTTTGAGAGGACCTTCTGGGAAGGACGAGGGAAAAGATGAGAAAAATGCAGGCAGCAAAGTCATGGCAGGATAGCTTTTCTCCTGTGAGAGGAAATACCCCCGAGTCAGGTGCAGGTGGGCACGTAGGGTGATAGCCACATGGGACTGACGTGTTCTGGAGGAGACCAGCTGTTCCTGCACGTCTAAGTTCCCTTTCGGGGACCCTGTGCTCCTCGCGATGAACCTGAAGACCCCTTCTCGGGAAAGGATCGGCAACAGTGCAATGTGGTGTGGGCATAGCAGTGCATCAGGAGTGCAGACCTGGGCAGCTGCAAGCTTAGGTTTGGTGGGCCTTCAGCCACGTGTTCAGTTTCTCATCTGGACAGGTGAATTTCTCGCGGTTGCTTATTGAAAGAGCGTTTATTTTCCTTCACCTTTAAGTTTAATTGGCCTGCGTGCCTGCTTTCCCTGTAGATGTGTGGTTGGTGACTTTCCCTCCAGATGTTGAGGCACCTGTCAAGCCCTTGGCACAGGCGGGTACTGAGCTGTAGTTGGAGTAGACTGTGCCTTCTGAAGCGATACCTGTTTACAATGAAGTTGCAGTCCCCAGAATTCCAGTCGCTTTTCACAGAAGGGTTGAAGAGTCTGACAGGTGAGAGTCTTGCTTTGTACACAGAGAAGCACAGGATTAACATTTTTTAACCAACATGCAGATATTTTTGTTGTTGGGGTGATGAAAGAAAGGCTTTTGTGAGTAATCCCCATCTATAGCCAAGTCACTGGAAGAAGCAAGAAGTTGCTGCAGTAAAAAACATGACTTTTCTGTAGGCTGTGTGAAGTACTGCACTTGCCACCCTTGGTGGGATTAGCTGGACTAACATGAGCAAGTGTGCTTTCTTGTAGCATGTAGTGGAGGAAACATGTTTAGGATATGAAGTGCGTTGCCCATTTCCATAACTAGTAACTGGAAGAGCTAGGGTTGAAGCTTGTGCAGTCTGATGTCAGAGCCCATTTTGTAAACACCGAATCTGATTTCCTTTCTGAGAAAGAAAATAATTGCTTTCTGAGAAAACTGAAGGCAGAAGCAAATAGGAGTTACCTCCATTTGTGCACAGGCAAAACTTACCTGAGAGGGTCACAGGAAATGGCTTTAGCTAAGTTCCTGATTGAAGCTTGTACTTACTGTTACCACATTTTGTCAGTATTGGTCCTGGATGTCAGCTACTGATGTGCATTTCAAGACCTGTGGGTATTTCAGGGTGCTTTGGGGAATACATTAGTTCTGTATATATAAAAATGACCTACGGGGTGCTTTGCAGCCCTCACTGTCCCTTTGATTCACTTGGGGTTTTTAAAATACACAGATGCTGGGCTTCTCTCCATAGCCTACTAAACTAGACTCTGGGAAGGATAGGCACCTGTTTTTTATAAAAACTCTACAGATTACTTCTGAACAATATGTACCTAAAAAGCCACTACCTAATTTCAAAAACAGGAAAATAACCTTGGGAATAACGTAAGAATAACAATTTTAAAGCAAATAGCTCCTCTATCCATCCTCCATTCAGATCCCTTGATTCTTTTGGGTTCTGTAGGTGGAATTGAAGTAGAGAATTAGATGCAACTTTTTATTTTTTTATGCTGATAGTTTTACCATGGTTTAATCAGAGTAGGAAAATGCCAGAAACTCACTGTCCAATAAAAAAATATATGTCCATATGTAATATGAATTTTTCTGTTAAGCACGTTGAAAAGGTAAAAGAAAGTGGCTGCAATTACTTTCAATAATGTTATTTCACATCATGTTCAATCCACTATAACTAAGATACTATCACTGGATTACTGAGATATTTTATATTCTCGTACGCCTCCAAATCTGGCAAGGATTTAACAGTATAGCATGTCTTGGTTCAGACTCCCCTCATTTCAAGTGCCTGATAACCACAGTGGTTAGCAGCTGCTGTTTGAACAGCACAGATCTAAAAGCTACAATTTGGGTCTGATTGAACCTTTTCTTTCTTTCTGTGCCCTTCCCAATCCCCAGTCTTCCCTGTTCTCTGCTGTAAGAGCTCTCTTGGAGAAAGGTAATTAACTCTTGAAAGCCTATCGCTGATCGTTCTGCATTTCTAAACCTGAGTTTCAGAGCTGCTTTTCTTCACCTGGAGAATGAAGTCCTAAGGAAGTAAGAACCTAAATTGTGTAGGATAGAGCTAGTGGGTATTTCTAGGATCCTGCCCTGGAAACACTGAAAAATGGAATATGGACATGAAATGTGACTTTTTGAGGCTACAGTAGAAATGGCAAGAGTAGACTCTTTGAGTGCATCCATCAACAACGAAAAAATCAAGTAACATATTTTCTACTTTGTTTGGATGCCATGGTAAAAATAATGCCTTGTATTGAAAACAAAATGCACAAAAATATACAAAGCCTTTGTGGCTATAACATGGTTCTCAAATCTTATGTCTGTTTTGCCATGAATAAAATTAGTTTACAGTTGCCAAAACTAGGGGGTCTAGAGTGTATTATAGTCATTATTGTCATAATTTGCCAGGCTATTTCATATATTTCATTTTTCTTCAGCTTTAGTACAACCGTAGTTCTAGTGGCAGAAAAGGTTATTTCCCTGTTTTAGAGATGAGAGTAAAATTCTGTATATACTTCACTTTTGCCTGAGTTATGTGGTTATTGTAGTAGACAGGACTTCATTGGTCCTTTGGCTGTGTCCGTAATCACTGGTCAGTGACAGCATTCCATGGAATTTGATGTCAAAGTGATCATTTTGGCATTTGGGACAGCAGCAACAACGGAATGCTATTGAGGTTTGGACACTCTTGGTGCAGATCATCTGATTTGCAGTAGTAATAATCATGCTGTGTAGTGGTCTTCCTACTTGCATCTCTCACTCACCATCCCTAACACCTCATTCTAGTCTCAGCACTCAAAAATCAAAATTGTAAAGGGAAGAGAAGTTTATGAAAACTAAAAAGATGCACAGTAATTATGAAAGTTTTCTGACACATTCATGTATGGTCTATGGGAGTACTATCAAGAATAATTAACAAGAATTACCATCAGATGTGGTAGCTGGAGCAAACTGACACTTTAGAATGATGAGATTTTGCATTTCTGAAGTCTTTGACTTAAACTTACAATTAGATTTGGTTGCATTAGGTTTGACTTTCACTGAGTGAGTATGCAGCTTGCAGTGTCTTTTGGATTGTTGAAGTATATCCGTGTTTCCTATAAGATTGAAAATATCAACAATTGAGGAGTAAGAGTTTAGCTTGATAGTTCCTCCTGTTTCAGGTCAAAGTCATGTCTTACCATTTTTGCAAGTATTGTTCCACACAGATGATAAATATGCCTTTGTATGCCTTTCCTCAATTGTATTAAAAACTTTTAAATCCTTAATTGTGAGATTTTAGGAAATGTGACTAGCATACATGATTTTTACATTTGTAAAAATGTAAAAAAACCCTTAGCAGAGATATATGGCTAGTAAGACTTGATTGGAAATACGGAGTTAATATGAGCTCTTCCTTTGGAAAGGGCTTGTGGAAATTGTAACTTGTGGGAGAGTTCAGATTTAGTTAAGAAGGTAAAGAGAGGAAGCATTTGTAATGTTAAGCAAGTCATATCAGGAGTCTTCAGGGTGGGCCTGAAAGATTTGGTAAGAATGGGTAGGAGAGGAGTGTGGGGATGACAAAGAACAGAAGTGGGGTAGAGTTGTGATTAGGATGCAACAAGTTTGATGGGTTCTGTCAATTCAGCCAAAAACCCCCAGGGATACACCAAATCGGATTGCTCCTCCTTGCAAGTGAGGGAGGATGCTGCCCATGGAGAACCTGGGGTCTCCCAGTAAGAGGGTTTTAGAAAGGACTTGTGATATTTGAGCTTATTATATTAGTTTGTTTTAGAGAGGGTTTAAGGAAGTGGATTATTTGCAGTGGATTAGATGCTTTCAGCCATCTTCTTACCTAGATGATGAGAATATATTGATAGATTAAAGTTGGCGGTAAGTAAGGAGCAGCCACTCATAGGAACTATCACAGGGTGTGTCTTGGACAGTGTTCATATTTTGGCTGTGTTCAGACATGATTACACAAGTGTCTTGATCTGTTGTGATCAAAGAATGTCTGATACTAATATTCTGTGAAATCGTTTATGTTCTACAGAACACCAGGACCTAGTTGTGGGTGGCAGGCCAGCTTATTGATATCAGGATTTAGCTGTATATTCAGGCCAGTTGTGTGTCAGTCTCATTAGGTTTGTATGTGTCACTTGTCCATATTGGCGTAGTTGTAGTGGACCTGGCCTGTCCTCACTACAAATTGTAGGTGTTTATGTATGTTCAGTGTTCATATGTTTCTACCTCAATGTACCAGTAGCTGGTTTCAAACAGTATATGAGGGTATTTCTGAGCATTCTTGGCCCTAACATTTATCATAGACACGTATCGTTTCATGCGAAATACTGCTTCTTACCTACTTACAAAAGAGAAGTATGAAACATTGCCATTTCTAAAGTATCATAAATACACATAAACTGTAAAAAAAAAAAAAAAGCAGAATGTTTTCTTTACTCTTTTGTAATAATTCATATTTTATTGATGACCTTAGCATTGTGGAATTCCGAATTTTTATGTTCTACAGAACACCAGGACCTAGTTGTGGGTGGCAGGCCAGCTTATAGTGATATCAAGGTTTAGCTAGTCATATCAGGCCAGTTGTGGATGTCAGTCTCATTAGGTTTGGTATGGTGTCACTTGTCCATATTGGCGTAGTTGTAGTGGACCTGGCCATGTCCTCACCTACAAATTGTAGGTGTTTATAGTAGTTCCAGTGTTCATATGTTTCTACCTCAAGTACAGGTACAAGCTGGTTTCAAACAGTATATGCAGGGTATTTCTGGAGCATTCTTGGCCGTAACATTTATCATAGACACGTGATAGTTTCATGCAGGAACATACTGCTTCTTACCTACTTACAAAAGAGAAGTATGAGAACACTTGCCATTTCTAAAGTATGCCCATAAATAACACATAAACTGTAAAAAAAAAAAAAAAGCAGAATTGTTTTCTTTACTCTTTGGTAATAATTCATATTTTTATTGATGACCTTAAGGCATTGTGGAATTCCGAATTATCTTCTAAATCATCAAAAGGAAAATTCTGAAAGTTCTTCACCCGCAGTTCTTGGAGGCATTCTACCGCAGTAAAGCCATTTCATGTGTTTCGGCCTTGTTCTTATTTTCATATAAAAAGGATCGGTTAAATGATATCTACTGTCCCTAATAGATGGCAAAACCTCATACTTCTTTTGAAACACATTGTTATAAAAATGTTCTTTCTGTCACCTCAGAATTATTCGTGAAAGGCCTTGTTCTTATTTTCATATAAAAAGGATCGGTTAAATGATATCTACTGTCCCTAATAGATGGCAAAACCTCATACTTCTTTTGAAACACATTGTTATAAAAATGTTCTTTCTGTCACCTCAGAATTATTCGTGAAAGAGAACCATGAGTTAAGAATAGCAGGAGGAGCAGTGAGGGATTTATTAAATGGGGTGAAGCCTCAAGATGTGGATTTTGCTACCACTGCCACCCCTACTCAGATGAAGGAGATGTTTCAGGCAGCCGGCATTCGGATGATCAACAACAAAGGAGAAAAGCATGGGACAATTACTGCCAGGGTAAGTAGAAGTCTGACAGTTAATTGCATTCGCATTTTTGTAATTACTTAAAACTTAATTTTTTTTGTAGTTGAAAAAGTAAGTAACAAAAACAAAGCCTAATTAAAATGGCAGTGTTTTCTTCCCTCACCCTAAATCTTCCATTCTCCTGCATTGCAGCCTTTGACTAAGTTTGATACTTACCTCTTATCTCCACAATTTCGGGATATGTGTTGGGGGGGGAGGGGGCTTTTGTATGCTGTAGTTTTGGGGTTTAATTTCCTGGTTTTAAGATGTTATCCACTGACTTCCTACATGGAAAGATGATTTAGCTTTCTCACCACACCCTTTCTCAATAGCAAGTACAACTGATTCTTCCTTCCCTATCTTTCCAATATGTTTGTTATAATTTTTGGTTAAATCAATACTCAGAACTTACATTTATGACTTTATATTGTTTACAGCTGCATTGTGGAGTATGTTATGATTATATTTCTTGTGTTGCATGGTTGTTTTGTTTTTGCAGTTAATAGCATTTTTATTTTATGTAGCTTTTCATGTACCACTCATTTTTTCATGTACTCTGTAAAGTTCTCTCAAAATAGTTAAACACATTAACAGTTTTTTTTTTTTTCTTTGAGACATTTCACCTGATACATCTTCCCACCCCAATTCTGATTCTGTAGCACTTTCCTTGGCCTTTTTTCTTGGTTTATGTCCTCTTATTAGTAGTCGGAAACCTAAGGGAGTCTTACATGTATGAGATACTCTTATTTTACCCCCACACTGGTTTGATAATTTTGTTGGCTGCAGAATTCTAGACTGGGAGTAATTTTCATTCAGAAATTTAAAGGCTTTGCTAGCTTTAAGACTGCCTTTAAGAAATCCAGTTCCATTTGGTTATCTCCTTTGTTTGAAACTTAGCTTTTTTTTTTTCTTTTGGAAGCCTTTTTGATCTTTCTAGCACTAGTATTTTTAATTTGAAGGTGGTGTGTCTTGATTTTGATTTATTTTTAATTCATTGTGTAGGGTACTTAATGGGACATTTGTGTTTCTTTCATAATTTCATCCCCTTTGTTAAATGTCTTTTCTTTGGAAACTTCTGTTATTTGGGTGCTGGGACAGGGCTGATATTCTAGTTTTATCATTGGGCTTTTATTCTTCTGTCTGCATGTCTTATTTTTCTTTCCATCTTGATCTCCCAACTTATTTCTATTTGCAACTTCTGTGGCTTTTAAATTTTCAAGAGGTGTTTCTTAGTATACAGTGTGATATATCAGTTCACAGGGATATGATCTGAGAAATTTGTTGCCAGGCAATTTTCATTAAAAACTTCTTGACTTTTTCATAATAATACGTAGCTTAGACCACATTATACAGTACCAAAAAAATTCTTCACGTCTTTATTCTACAAGTGTTTTCCTGTTTTTTTTCTTTTATAATCTTTTTGTTAACAAGACACACACATACACACACTTACACACTTGCCTAAGCCTAATATAATACTTATGGATCAGGATTATAAGTATCACTGTCTTCTTCTTCCACAACTTGGCCCACTGGAAGTTCTTGGGCACTGACAATGAATGGAGCTGTCATCTTAGATAAGTATGCCTTCCTTTGTAATACCTCCTAAAGGACCTGCCTGAAGCCAGTTTACAGCTAACATATTTTATATAAGCAAAAGGTGTACATTCTAAAATAACCATAAAAGGTATAGTGTTAAATACATAAACTACTAGTAAGTCATTTAATATGAACTATATGTAATTGTACAAATTCTGTGCAATTGTCATTAAATGTGTACTATACAGTCACTAAAATGCACTATAAGTATAGTCATTAGTATATACTATATACATAAGTGCTTTGTATATATTTATACTACTTGCAGCATAGTAGGTTTGTTTACACCAGCATCGACACAAACATGAGTAATGCAATGCACCATGATGTTTATGATGGCTAGTGTCACTAGGTGAAGGAGATTATTCAGCTTCATTACAATCTATGGTATCATTGTCATATATGCTGTCCATTGTTGACTGAAGTGTGACTGTGGGTATATGACTATTTCTTTTACAGCTTCCTGTTCCTGTAATAACTTCTTTGATTTTCCTTAGGTTATCAGTTGTAGTTGTTTGTCAAAATCTTTGTTTCCTTTGAACATTTTCTATCTTTCATATTGGCTTTCTTTAAAGGTCAGTATTCTTTGGCTATCATATATTTTTAGCAAAATAACATGATGACTGTGTTGTAGTTCTGCATGGGAAATATTAGCTATTTAGTAGTGGGACTCCCAGTGTAGGAGTTTTCATTAGGAGAAATCAGAGAGGTGTCCTCCTAGTGTTATAAGCATGGTTGTTTTGAAAACCAAGTTGAAGGGGGAAAAAGTATAAACCTTGATTTAAACTTACTATTTTCATTGTGATGTTTCCTTCTCATGATCATCAGTGTCTGGCACACAAGTCTGATTGTATTTTTGTGGTACTGGGGTTTGGTTGAACTCAGGGCCTCGTGCTTGCTAGGTAGACTCTCTACCACTTGAGTCCACAGTCAGCACTTTTTGCTTGGTTATTTTTGATATGTTCTTGCTTTATGCTTGGGTTGGCCTAGACCACAATCTTCCTGTTTATGTTTGCCCTCCTAGCTGGGATAACAGGCATGCACTATTGCACCCAGCCATTGATTGAGATGGAGTCTCACAACTTTTCTGCCAGGCTTTCCTGGAGCCAAGATCCTTCCTGCATCTGCCTCCTGAGTAGCTAGGATTACAGGTTTGAGGCACCCTCACCACACCCAGCTCAGTTCTGATTATTTTTGGTCCACCCCTTTCTAAGAGAGTTAATCTCTATTTTTCTGCTGGGTTGTGGGGGGGGGGCGGAATTCTGGATTGAAGGTCTAATCATTTCTTGTAATAAGTTTCAAGTAGCTTTCCCTATCTCAGGCTCTTTCCTTTCATGGATAAATGTGTTTCAAATACCCGAGTTACAGAATTTTATAGGGAGAGTATCAGTACAGCATGTGCTCATTCATGGTTTTTATTTCCTAATGAAGATTCCAAACTTCTTCTTGACTACTGCTGATGTGCTGTTTGTCACATACACTTTTCCTTTAACATTTACTCTTCTTTCTCCACTGTTCCTTTGATCTTCCTTTTATTTGAAATGTGCTTGTCCCCACATTAAGGTCCTACTTAATTTTCAGGGCTGAGCTCATGTCACTCTGTTATGAAGGTACTCAGCTTTCCCAGCTGAAGACAGTTTCTCTTCCCAAGATACATGGAGCACTGTAGCTTCATTGGGGAGTACCAGTAAAGGAACTGTAAAGGTATTACTTCCCTTCACTTTTTTGCTCAATGGGATATATTAATATTCAGCTCTTTGCAAACTAGAGCTGTCAAAAAACTGTAAGAGAATAGTTTGCTGTGAAATTGAATGACGAGAATTTTTTTTTTTGAGGGCTCCTCCTTTCTGCCACACCACTTGTCAGAGTTGCCCTGTTTTTGTATCAAACTCAATCACGGTAGGTATTTTTAAGACAATAACTCATTCTTTAGGTCTGTCTTTGAATTTTTTTCAGTGTCAGATATGTATTCTAGTTGAGTTTAAAAAGACATAAGCTACAACTAATTATAGTACCATGTCTTGATGAAATTTTCTATCAGTGATACTAAGCATTGTTAAAAGAAAAAAACCAACTTGTATTTAATTGCAGCTTCATGATGAAAATTTTGAAATTACTACACTACGGATTGATGTCACCACTGACGGAAGACATGCTGAGGTAGAATTCACAACTGATTGGCAGAAAGATGCTGAACGCAGAGATCTCACAATAAATTCTATGTTTTTAGGTAATATATGGAGATAAGACAGTGTTCTAATTCAGTCTGTTAGAATGCCTTCAAGTGAAATCCTCATTCTGGAAATGTTCTCCAACTTAAGTGGCATTAATGTCTTCTAGAAGACAATCTATCATGTTGCTGGAGCCAAACTCCCTGGGTTCAGATTCTCACTGCATCACTCTCACCATCCATAACATGGATGTGTTAATGCTGGTTTCCTTTGTAGGGCTGTTGTGAAGATCAAGAGAGTTAAAGACTGTAAATGTTTAGAACAGTGCCTGACATATTTACACTTCTGTTTTTTAATTTATTGTCTGCATCTAAACAGTGCAAGGAAATGTGTGCACACATGCATTGCACACACTCCATGGCACTCTTTCTCTTGTTATCTTTCATGCACACATGTCCACTGTTTCTTCTCTCCCAGTTCCCTGGCAGTCAGTGGTCAGTGACTTCAGCATCTTTGTTATTGTTGAGCCTAGACACAGGCAATCCTGGGCAAAAAAGTTTGAGACCCCATCTCATAACAGAAAAGCTGAGCCGGGCGGCGTGCGCCTGTCATCCCAGCAACAGTGGAAAACCTAAAATAGGAGGATGATGGTCCAGGCCAGCTGGGGCATAAAATGAAATGCTATCTCCAAAATGACCCAAGCAAAAAAGGCTGGAGCTGTGGCTCAAGTGGCAAAGCACCCACTTAGCAAGCATGAAGCCCTGAGTTCAAACCCCTCTCCCACCAGTTGCGGGGGGCGGGGTGGAGACTTCATTGTTAGAGACATATATTCCCATCTTTTAGCCTGTTTTCTGTAAGAGTTTTTACATATTATAGAAATAGCCATTTGTCTCTATTAATAATGACTTACATAAATTTTCTTAGAATGTCACTTTACAACTTTCTGTGTGGTAGTAGCTTTTGCCAACAGGCTTATTTGATCTTTTGTATAGTTATTATTTCTGGTATTATGATTCTGTTTTGCTTTGTCAAGTTAAAAGGTCTAATTTCAGGATTATAAAATACTTCCCTATGGATTCTTCTACTTTTGTTATGTTTTCCAGATTATTTTGGGTATTGTTTATTTTCTTGCACTAACTTGGGTTAGTATCTTGTCTGGTGCCTGTTCGCTTCACCCCTCATATAGGTCTGACACGTTGCTTTTTTACTTTATTCTTGGAGGCATTATCTTTTTACTTCTAAAGGCAGCCCTTTATTCTTCCTTTATTCTTTCTCCCATTTGGTAGTGATGTATACTAATATTATTACTATCTATATTTTAATTTTGTACTTTTTTTGTGGTACTGGGGCTTGAATCCAGGACCATCACCTTGAACCACTCCACCAGCCCTATTTTTGTGAAGGATTTTTTGAAATAGGGTCTCGTGAACTGTTTTCCTCAGGCTGGCTAAGAACTGCAATCCCCCTGATCTCTGCCTCCTGAGTAGCAAGGATTACAGGCATGAGCCATGGGCACCTAGCTAATTTTGTAGCATTTAACCTTGCTGCATTTTTACTGTTTGTAGTAGGTTTTGTCAGATTCTTGTTAATAATGATTTTTCTCCCCTCTTTTCTAATGAATAGGTTTTGATGGCACTCTATTTGATTACTTTAATGGTTTCGCAGATTTAAAAAATAAGAAAGTTAGATTTGTTGGGCATGCAAACCAGAGAATACAAGAAGATTATCTTCGAATTTTAAGATATTTCAGGTAAAAAACTTTACAAACTTTGAAACCAAAAAATTAAAGTTTTTTATGCCACCAGAGCACAATACTACATGTGCAATATGGAGCAGGTATGTGTACAAAATGGTGATATCTCAAATGTCTGTCTCCAATGGTGAGGTAGCACCCCATGACTTACATACTTCATATGGTATTTTCATCCCAAAATATGCATACTTACTACACTGTATATGATCTTTTCCATTAGAAATCTTTAAATCACTTTAAAGATGTCCACCTTTCTTTTTGTTAAGTAGTATTTTCCTTCATTGATCCTGTGACTTGAGTGCTTATCACAGGCCAAGCACTGTGTCAAGAGCTTGATCACAGTAATTAACGACTGAAAGTGTTTGCCTTCATAAGGCTTAGAGCTTTAGGTGCTATGGAAATATGTTGCCTCATCACAAAATGACACTGGCAGACAGAAAATGCTACTAAATGACTAGTGAAAAAAGTATACATATTTAGAACTTAGACTGTTAAGTGTGAAATGCCTGGATGGTTTTATGAGTAGCAGTGATTCTTAGTCAAAGCTTGAAGTGAACTTGAGTCACTGGGGTTCTAGTTCTTGCTGATTTTAAGGTTACCTACATTGTAATTAATCTTGGGTTTTTCTCTTCTGAAAAAAAATGAAAGTGAAAAACAGACTTTTCTGGTGATATGCAATACAGAAGTCATAAATTGTGAGGATTTTGTCTTGCAGGTTTTATGGCAGAATTGTAGATAAACCTGGTGACCATGATCCTGAGACTCTGAAAGCAATTGCGGAAAATGCAAAAGGCTTGGCTGGAATATCAGGAGAGAGGATTTGGGTGGAACTGAAAAAAATTCTTATTGGTAACCATGTAAATCATTTAATTCACCTGATCTATGATCTTGATGTGGCTCCTCATATAGGTGAGAACAAGTTATGAAATATGTAAATTTTTGGTAATGAGACAGTTTATAATTCATAAGGAAAAAATGTCTTGACTCACATAGCTGATGAATTCTAAGTGAATAAATGGAATCCCAAGGTAAACTCTGGGAACAGCTCCAAGATTTGGCTTTGCTGACACTGTGCCAGTTACCACCTTTGTGACTTTGGTTAGTTTCTGATCAGAACAGGGGTTAGAAAAATAACAGTACCTATCTCATAAGACTAAAGGGAGTGAGTTCATACATGGAAACCACTGTTAAAAGAATGCCTTATACACAGAAATGGGTTAATGTTATAATTGATACTAAGAATAGTGAGATAATATGGTTTTTCACACTTCAGGGAACTCTAATATCTAGACCAAAACAAAATTATTGAGTGGAGCGTGGATATTAATTTATTAGTGGGAAGTCAGGAGTGATGGCTACTTTCTCTGAACTCCTGATACAGCTTGTTAATGGAAACATGTTAAGGCTTTCCCTAAGTCTTGAGAGAGACTTCGCAGGTTTTAATACTAAGACAATGGTGGTTTTAGGATATGATTGAATTCTTTTTTTGCCATTAAAATCAGGTGAAAATGATTTTGTGCCCACAGGTTTACCTACTAATTCAAGTTTAGAAGAATTTAACAAAATCTGTAAAAACGTTGAAGGTTGTTCACCAAAGCCAATGACTCTCTTGGCCTCATTATTCAAAGTGCAGGATGACGTCACAAAATTGGATTTGAGGTTGAAGATTTCAAAAGAAGAGAAAAACCTTGGCTTATTTATAGTTAAAAATAGGAAGGACTTAATTAAAGCAACAGATAGTTCAGAACCATTGAAACCATATCAAGATTTCATTATAGATGTAAGTATATATTAGACTTGGTTATAAAGTCATTTTTTGGTAATTGTAGAACTAATTTGCTGAAACACAATATTCTGTGGATTTGGAATGAAAATTTTCTTAGTGAGGATTTATCATTTAAACTTCAGGATAAATACAAGTGTTTTTAAATGTTTCTTTGGCACTTAGTCTAGGGAACCTGATGCCACTGGCCGTGTATGTGAGCTGCTGAAGTACCAAGGTGAGCACAGTCTCCTCAAGGAGATGCAGCAGTGGTCCATCCCCCCCTTTCCTGTGAGTGGACATGACATCAGGAAAGTGGGCATTTCTTCTGGGAAGGAAATTGGAGCTCTGTTACAGCAGTTGCGTGAACAGTGGAAAAAAAGTGGTTATCAAATGGAAAAAGATGAACTTCTAAGTTATATAAAGAAGACCTAAAATGATAGCTGGGTACTAAAAAGTGGAAAAATTTTGGTGAGACTGGTTTTCTGTCCCTCTTCATGAAATTTAAGAAACAGTTTAGAGAATGCCTCTTTGGAAAAATTATCTTATTTTGTGAAATTATAGTCAGTAAACTAGAGTCTACTGCCTCTTAATTTGATGTATGTCATGGAATCTTATTCTTTTGGAATAGGTTGTACTTGGTTTCTATCATTATCTGTTTAGATTTCAAAATAAAAGCTGTTTTTGCGTAATTGATCTTAAAAAGTAACAGTCTTGCTGTGCTTGGTGGCATACACCTATAATTCCTGCTACAGGAAGATCTCGAGTTTGAAGCCAGCCCAGAAAAAGTCTCAAAAACAATAAAAAAAAAAAACCTGTCTTGAAAAAAAATGTGTGCAGTGGAAATAATTGGATTACTTTGTACAGTGCTGTTACCTGATTTACCAATATTATGTCTCTAAAAAAATATTTATTTTGAAAATTTATCAGCTATCTAAAATTATATCCAGGGTGGCATTTATTCATAGAGGATTCGTCCTAGCAGTCTGTGTTTTACCATGAAGTTATTGTGTGCCATAATGACTCCTTTATCTATCAATGAAAACCCTGGAAAAGTTCTTATGGGATTAACTTGAGTGTTAGTCTTGGAGCCTATTATTTTAGTGATATTTAGTAATATTTCCTTTGATTTTTGGAAGGTAAATGTGTTTATATATCAAGTGCTAGGTGTTGCAAGAAAGGGGAGCCTCAAACAACTGCACCCAGGTCAGTAACTAAACGTTTTACAAAATACACTGAAATATTTAAGTAGTACTAGAATGTCTGGACCATAAATGTGCACATTTAGCTATACATGGCTTTGCCATATATAAAACCCCTTTAAATAGTGTCATGCATATTTTTACGTATCAGAAAAAAATTAGCAAATAATATACGCTGAGATTTGCACCCTTTGGAGAGCAGAGGTAAAAATACTATTGTGCGTTAAAAATAAGTTTTGCAGGGCAAGTGGAGTTTATTTTCATTTACTCACATAAAGTTTATAAATGAAGGTCAACAGTCTGTTCCTGGCCTCAATATACTTTGATTAAACATTTTACCTGATTAGCATGAATTATGTAAAGTAGTGAAGGAATATCATAAAACCAGTTAATTACACAAATGTAAAAGGATCCACTAAACCTTTGAATATGTCAGCAAAGAGGTATAGGTCAGACAGCAGTCTTTCTAGAATTTTATCTTACAAATTATTTCTTTTATCTACATTACTCTCTTCTGAATGTCTTTTACATTAAGCAAAGAACATGTTTATTAGTTTGGGTCATCCTGCTTTAAGTTCTTCTTTATTTACACTGAATAAAACTGATCACAACATACAGAATCATCTCTGGCTTGTATTCGAGGGATGTGCTTTGTCACTTCTGTTCCACAATAGTTTAGGTTCAACTAAATAGTGCAAATACACACTATTTTTCAATAAGAAACATAAAGGAAAGGAAAATTATTTTTGAGCTCAAACTGCATATTTAATATTTTCAGAATTTACAAATCAATATCTGAGAGAAGTTAAAGTTGAAAAGAATAGAGTCCTTTTAAAATAATGTACACTGCTTTGCCTCTTTGAAGAAGAGACTTGGCACCCCAGCTTTCATTTACAGCACTGTGCCAATATGCTGTCCCATACACAGGATCGATCAGATGATTAATTAAAATGTTTTATGCAGCAAACATTTTCACTTTTAGTGATGCTTTGCTGTCCTGACACCAAGCTTGTATTCTAGACTGCTTTTCATCTTCTCTGAAAGTGTAATTTTCAAATACACCTTAACTAAGAAACTGTTACTTACGTGTATATCCATCACAGGCAATAATTTGAGATCTGATTTGAGAATACTCATTTGTTATATACCTTTCCCTCTGTCCACTTACAGACAAAGTATTACTTTGTCGGGGCTTAATTCATCTTCCGTGTCTGGTATTGTGGGCAACAGGGCAGATCGAGTTAAACCCCAAAACTTTTGCGGTGACATGTCTTTTTTGGTGGCTGTAAATTTCCATCCAATATGGCTTGCACAAATCTTACACTGAGCAACAGTCCAGGCATACCTATAAAATGAGGGGAAGATAGCAGTTAAGGAAAAACATTTCTGTACCCTAAGCCTATCACATAAATCTATTATGCAGAAAGTTCTTGGGCAAAATTTGAAGAATTAAGAACAAATCAGGGCACTATAGTTAAAGTCAATAAACCAAACTATGCAGGCGTAGGATTCCACATGTACTACTTCCATTAACAACTCTACTCTTAGTCCATGCCAAACGAGGTGACAATCACTAATCCCTACTCACTGTGTGTCTTCTTTCAAAGCAAAAAGCCTGACCCAGAATTCAAAACAAATGATTAATATGGCTCCTGAAGGTGACAAAACAGAGGGAATCTAGCAAGTTAGCAAGGATCACAGACTAGATGAAAACCAGAATTCAGTGCTTTCTACATTCTTACTAGTCTATCCCTGCTTAAGAAACATCTGGTTTAATATTAGAGCCAAATATGACCCACGAATAGTCTTAGTGGGTCCTCAAACAGCTTATTTTTAGAATGAATTGTCAGCAAAAAGTAATTTTGGATGTTGTACAGTGATTTAAACACCACAGCAGTTGTCAACCTTCTTTCTCCCTGTATTTAATAATATGAAAAAAATTTAAAAAGTACAATAGGCATTTTTGCCTATCCAGGGAATGAGATATGTTTAAAAACATTTAAATTAGTCATGCCATTCCTGTTTCTTATTACAATTCTAGCAGCCCTGCTTAGAACTCTGGATTTTTCTGTCTAGTTAAGGTGAAACAACAAAAAAAGCATCTATCACCATCATATTACCCAGGAAACCAGCTGTGCTCTGTAGAAGGCCGGCCTATTAGATTCAAGTTGCATGCTTTGTATACGGTAAGCGTCTCATGCACGTATCCATGGGGATTCACGTAAGCTGCCATTGGCCCACATAAGGATAAACTAAAACAAGAAATTTGGAGAATAAGATACAAGCTAGTTTCTAATCTTAAAATTTTATACACCAAAACTTTAGACTTTAGTATTAGCATGAGATTCAGGAGGTTGGCACCATTCCCGTTTTGTTTAAATATTTTCTATGATGACCCTAAAACTCTTTAAGTTTAGTGAAAACTTCCTATTTGGTCATCCTTGGGCAGTTGATTGTGTTGCAGACAATATGTTCCTTACCTTCCTGATTTATAATAGTGATGAATTTTTCAAAAAGTAATTCCTAAACCAACAGCACCAGTATGTGTTCAGAAGCATGCTCTACTTGGAGAAAACAGATCACTGACTGAAATAATGCCTGAGGCATTCATGGTAAAGTTCACTAAGAACATACTCTGATAGGGTAAATTTTTATTAAAAATTGAGGGAAAAAAAGGATAGTTCATGCTCATTAGCTATGAACAATCCCTTATGTACCCCTTCTTCTATTTGGAATATGGCGGCCTTCCCCTAAACTGAGTTTATTCCCTATATTTACTGAGTGTAATTTTTAAACAGTGGAGGGAAATACATGGAAATTCAAACTTGATTATGAATGTGTTTATATTAAATGTATAATAAAGATGTTACCTGAATATTTCATTTTTCGTTGTTATTTCTGTTTCTTGACATTGTTTACAGCAAAGGGAAGTACACTAAAAATTTTAAGACAAAATTATTACTGGGACATACGGTTACACTGTAATGTAGTTAACCATGCATCATCAAGAAACTTCTCTAAGGCAGTTCTCCCTTTGAATTTATATCATACTTTTTTCCCAGGCACTGATCTAAATGACCTTCTAGGATAAAAACACATGATAAATTCCAACAAATATTTCATAATTTTCTCAAGGTCTGATAAAGTTATTCATATATGAGAAATGCAAAACACTGAGTTTCTTTATGTATGATCCCAAGTGAAATGCTTAAGTTTCATAGGTCAACTGTCCTTTAACCAAACTTGGAACAAGAGGTTTTATAGATTTTGTAATATTTATGTGTATACTTTCCTAATCTCCAAATTGGAAATGGCCCAAAATCTGTGGATTAAGAATGCTCAACCTATACTTTAATATATTCTTAATGTAAACACATGACAGGTAAAAAAAGTGTTTCTCTAATTACATGACTACATTACTGGACTCTAGTGATACCTCTCTTAGTCCCAACACTGCATCCTAATTTTCTAGTCTGACTAAACAAGGAAATGACAAACATACTAATTTTACTTACTTTATTCATAATGTCTAATTCACAGCGAAGTCGTTGAATAGCACTACCAATTTTAAGTAGCTGAATTCTTAATACATCATCAATAGGAAGACAAGCAGCTACTCTGTAAGAAAAATCTTTAAAGAAACACAGTGGGATTCTCAGGTTCCTTTCTCTACAGAGTTCCCAAAGCATATATTTTACATAATTAAAAATAATTCCAAAACACACCCGCTTTTGTCTTCCTTTAAATTAAACCATGGACTCAAACCCATATTAGAAGTCATTTATTTACCAAGATACTAGACAAATAATAAAACTGTCTTATAAATGAATTTTAGAGATTATGTGTAAATAATTTAAGTTCTGGAAGTAGGGTCACTTGTAAAGAACAAGGAGAAAAGTGTACTCAGGAAGTACTTTTAGATGAGATGCACTTATTGCAATTTGAATTCTTAATGGAAAATTTGTCTAAAGAGTAGTCACAAAATAAGAGAATTTGTTATAATTTAAAAATTATATGTACATATATGTACTTTTTTTTTTGGTGGGACTAGGATTTGAACTCAGGGCTTTACATGCTTGCTATGCAGACACTCTACCACTTGAGCCACACTTCCAGCCCTTTTTGCTCTGTTTATTTTGGATTAGGATATGGTTTTTTGCTGAGGTTGTCCTGGACCCAACCTCCTACTTGAAGCTTCCCATCATCACTAGAATTACAGGTGCACACCAACCACTACACCAAGCTTTTTTCCATTGAGATAGGGTTCTTAAAAGCTTTTTTTAAAAACCAGGTCTAGAATTACAATTTTTCCAATCTCAGCCCCTTTCATAGGCATCAGCCACCTACGCTTAGCTATTGCTGAAGAAAGGGTCTCACAATTTTTTTTTTTTTTTGCACAGGCTGGCCTGGAACTACAGTCCTCCCAATGTCAGCCTCCTTCATAGCTTGGGATGACAGGCATGCACCACTGTGCCGAGCTCCTTGTTGAGATAGGGTCTTGTAAATTCCCTGCCTAGGCTGGCCTAGAACTATGATTCTCCTGATCTCAGCCTCCCAAATAGCTAGAATTACAAGTGTGAGCCACCAGAACTCAGCTTAAAAATACTTCAACTACTAAAAGCAAAAGAAATCACGTGCTTTTCAGAATTCGAATATTAATCACTAAAAATTTTGAAGACTGGCCCTAAATACAAGGCTTCTTAAATTTCTTTCAGCAACATTTCATACCTATTGGATTTGAAGGAAGAGAATCATCTTTGAGATTTTCATCCCATTCACGTAGCTGTTTCTTAATTCTATCCATTAAGGTTTCCTGATTTAAAATAAAAGTAACCATAATAAAGTTCACAGACTTACTAAATCCTGCTGTAAGCTTTATAAGGTTTTAATAACACTAATACAATGGTAGAAATTTATTTCATCAGTATATGGTAAAATCTCAAACCTATGAGTCCCCAATTCCAGTGTCTTGTTTTCTTATGCTGAAATGATCAAGCCCCAGCTCCTTTGTCCAGCACTACTAGAGCTCCATTCTAGACTCCTGCTTGAAAATGGTCCCTCTTTTCACTTTCTTGAAGCCTTTTTTGGCTCAGTACAAAAGATTGTGGCCTGTATATATTGTACCAGCATTTGCTATCTACATATTTTACTTGGCATCTACTTACTATATAAAAGTACTTACTGTCTTTTCCCGGGAAACTACAAAAAAATACTCTCACATAGTGGATCTGTCTGTAATGGTTCAAAAGCTGCTGAAGGGCAGAGATCAGCTATATTTTCCATCAGTGATATGTAGGTCATAAGTACTGAAACTACTTGTTTAGTTTTCCCAGGGCTTCAGATTGTTGGCAAAGTGATTCACAAAGGGAAATAATACTTGTTTAATGTCTGCCAACTGTGATAGCTACTATCATCCCCACTTACATGTATTTGGAGAAGTAATTTTTCCCAAAGCAGTTACTGATAGAAATTGAGCTTTGAACCCAGTCTGTGTTCAAAGTGAAGACTAAACTGTTTTGATGGCCTGTCTCCTAGTGACTCTGATAAAATGTGGCAAAGTCTGCTATTACAACTTTGAGGAACAAAAGCCCTTGTGGATGTACCAATTGGTAGACTAATGACAGGGAAAAATAATAGACTTGTTTAGAGAAAAAAAATAAACCTAAAACGTATAAGAATGTTACATAAGAATTCTTTAGCTTTCTGTATGTGTTTACCACCTGCCCCAACAGATTTTCAGATGTTTAACAAACCCTAAGAAAGTCTTCTGATATCTTGCCCTTAAGTTGTAAGTCACTAGAAACTGTAAAACTAAAATTTCAGTAAGATTTTATAGGAGGCAAAGAATATACAGTAGCACCTTTGATTCCTGCCTCATTTTACTTTAAATGTAATAAAAGGAAATACTTCTAAAAATAAAAGAACACAAAAGTCTGTGTTTTAATGACCCTTACTTATGACATGGCTTACCACATATAAGTTTAAGGTAAGTTACTCACAGCATCATATAATGAATACAGCCAGCGAGGCCATGAGGTCAGATTTGCACAATGAAACTTTCTCTGAAACAAAAAAAAGTCACTTAACCAAAAAACAACCTCAAGGAAAAGATTCTAAAAGCAACAGTTGAGAAATGACTTTAGTCTACCAACCCATTTTCTAATTTTACATAGATAAAACATTTTGCATATAATTTCATAACAGACCATTATTATTTGACAATCATATTTTTTATAAATTTCAAATACCTACTGGAGCCAGAATCTCATTCCTACTGAAAAATTACAAATACAGTCATATGTCTGTCTCTTAATATCGAGGATACATTCTGAGAAATGGGTTGTTAAGGCAACGTCAATAGTGTGCACGACAGACTGTACTTATGCAGATCTGGATGGCGTAACTAAACACCTAAGCTACATGGTATTGAGCCTACTGCTCCCCAGACTGCAAGCCTGTGTAGCATATTACTGTACTGAGAACTGCAGGCAACTGTAATGTTAAGTACATTAAATAGAAATGGCATAATAAAAATAAGATATAAAGGAATAAAACGTGGTGTACTCACAGAAGGACTGTGTAGGACAGAAGGTTGTTCAGAGTGAGTCAGTGAGTAAGAGGGGAGTGAATGTGAAGGTTGAGGACAGTACTGTCCAATACCGCAGACTTTATAAAGCACTGAATACTTAAGCTACACTAAATTTATTTTTAGAAATGCCTTCGATAATAAATTAACCTTAGCTTACTTTTTCCTTTGATTAAATTTAATGTTTTAAACTTTTTGATTCCTTTGTAGCTTAACTTAAAACACACATCATACTACTATACAAAAATATTTTCCTTCCTCTACAGACTTTAATTTTTTTCTTTTTTATTAAAAACTTAAAAGACAGACTAGTAATGAATTGTGCTATGACATAATGAAAGCTTTGATGTTATGAAACCACTGAGTCACTAGGTGATAGGAATTTTTCAGCTCCATTATCATCTTAGGGGAACATTACCCAGTATGTAGCCACTGATTAACCACAAACTCAGGATGTGACACATGACTGAAAATCAAGAGTACCTGAGTAACAATGTGTTCCCTTCTGTGATCATCAGAAATGGAGACTTTCATTGTCAAAGACAATGTGTTAAGTTGAAGTGTTTACAGGTGTCTCTCAAGGTGACATGATACTTCTTTTCAAGTATTTTAGGAATTGCTACATGGCAAAGGACAGACTTACTCTGAAACACCCATAGGCTACATCTCAATCCAATCCTTTCATAAGAAAAAACACTAGCTTACTAAAAGCCACCTTATATTTAAGACTAACCAAAGAGGGACTGGAATGGCCTATTCCATGTTCAGGTAGTGATTTAACCCTAGAAGTCAGACCATAAGACCATAAGACCTTAATAGTACTCTCAAGTAAGCTGTCCTTCACTTTTAAGACCAAATATCTAATGCCAAGAATTTTAAAGAATGCTACCAGTAAGGCAGCAGACAACTGAATATTCAGTAAAGCAGTGGTAACCATTAAGAACTTCCCAGGTCTTTCAAGACTACTACATGGCTATGAGTAGTACCATCACCATCTTAAAGCTAAGAGAGGCACAGACAGATGGTATACCTTGTCCACAAGTCACACAGATATATAGTAAGTGGAGAGTAGCTAGGATTTGCATGCAGGGAGTTAATGACTCTAGCTATCATTCACTCAACATACTTTGATCACCTAATGTTATCAGGCATTATTGTTACGTGTTTGGGATATGCCATTTAAAACAAAAGACTAAAATCGCAGCCCTGTCAGTATGACACTTTAGGATAGGCTCACTAAAGTTACATATTCTTTGAATTACAAAATGACAAGAATCCATTAGAAAGTTTCAATTCAGATGGCTGACACATGTCCAATTCAATTACTAAAATACACTTTGTGGCCAGGTGCAATGGTTCATACCTGTAATCCTAACTACTCAGGAAGTAGAGATTTGGAAAGATTGTGGTTTGAGGTCAGCCTGGGCAAAAGTTCACAAGACCCCATCTAAACCAGTAAAAGTTCTCCACAGTGGTACACACTTGTCGTCCCACTTTGCAGGAAGTGTAAGTAGGAGGATCAAGGTCCAAGCCAGCCCAGGTTTAAATACAAGATCCTATTTTAAAAAATAACTAAACCAAAAAGAGCTGAGGATGTGGCTCAAGTGAGAGAGCACCTGCCTAGCAAGCACAAGGCCCTTAGTTCAAACCCCGGTACTGCAAATATATACATATACATATATACATATGTATTTCTATCTGTGTGTGTATGTATGTGTATATATATACATACACACACAGATAGATTCGTGTGTATTATATATATAGCTATATACACACATTTTATATAAATATACACATTAAAATGATCACGTCTATAGCATAAAAAGTACAGTACAAAAATTTAATTTTATTTGGCACCCATATCAACATAAATAGAGCCAAAATCATTATTCACATTTAAATAAATCTTTGTATGTATATCCCAACTGTTTCTAAAAGTTCTATTTACAAATCAACTAAATAAGCCTAATGTTCTCTCAATATTTATGGAGTACTTTATATAGTTAATCATACAAACTGAAGAGAAGTATACCAGAAAAGATTAGTTTTTACAAAGCAACTGCCCAAACTTAAGTCTTTAATATCCTCAAATTTATGAGTCCCATTTAGTTTTCTGACATAGTGAGAGAGGCTCTCGTCTTATATCTGAGTAATACTGATAAGTTCTAACAATTTATAGGCATTTTTAGAATATCAATACTATATTTCATAAAAGGGTTATACCTCAAGAAAGTTTTAGTACAAGACAAAAAGTTTAGGCACTTAAAAGTGACCAATGACTAATTCTCCACTGAACTGTAATTTTCATTCTGGGGACAGGATTTACTAGTGAGAGCAGAGATAAAGACCTTTAAAATGAATCTCTGTTGCCTAGAGATAATCCATCACATTTTCCCATTTTTAAGCCTCAGACTTATGCTTTAGCTTTGCCTTCCAACAATGCAGAATGTGGAATTCCAACCAAATGGGTCTTTGAAGTACAATGAAATTGGAAGGATAATGCAAAAAGCTAAATGTAAATAGCAACTAAATATAATTGATACCCTTTACATAGTAACCAAAGATGTCCGTTTATTATTTCAATCCCTATTATAATCAACAGTGTAAATGATAAAAGTAATTTATCCAAATAAATCAGAAGTCAGAAGCTTTTTTCTCCTTTCATTTACCAAATTCCTTTTTGGTAATGAGAAATGCAATAAAATAAACTCTTCAGTACTCCCAACACTCATAAGCTAATGGCAGATATACAAATACATGCATTCATACATAAGACATATACTGAAGGAAATTACTAGTTTGTCTAAGGAAGCACCTGACTAAACACCGCAAAAATGCCATGAAAAACTGGCTAAAGAATACCAGATAGGGGATTTAATAATCATATTTTTATTTGCACAAATTTGACAAACTATAAATTTGTCAGCAGCTATAATACTATGATAAATAGGATGACCAATAGAGCAGAAGTAAAATAAAAAAACATTAATCCGGTCTATGACAAGGGTGGCACCCAAAGTCACTGGGAGTGACACTATGGACTTTTCAGAAAATGATTATGGGAATGAGGAACAATCTGGACAAACGTAGAAGTCGTACTAGGGTAAATAATGCAGATCACACATTTTACACGAGATTTTTACACGTAAGAGAAAAAACATGGTATTCTTTTGCATGGGAAAGTCATTTTCAGTTATGATTTGGAACATAGAGACATATAAAACAATTCAACTACATTAAAAAAAATAACTTCTGTATAAATAACAGCACAACAAAACAAAGTTAAGAGACAAATGACAAACCAGGGAAAGTGGGACTCACTAATATCAAAGATTATGAAGCTTACAAAGAACTAGAAATCAACATGTCAAGAGAATAGAAGGGGCTAAGAATGGGAATAGAGACTTTATAGAAAGAAGCTTTACAGAAGAAAGTCATGGTGGCACATGCCTATAATCCCAGCACTCAGGAGGCTAAAGCAGGGCAGTCCCAAGTTTGAGGCCAGCCTGGGATTCACAGCAATACCCTGTCTCAAAGAAAAAGAAAATAAAAGGGCTGGGATGTAGCTTAGTAGTAGAGCACTTCCCTAGCATGTACAAGGCCCTAGGATCCATCCACAGCACCGCAGAAAGAAAACAACAAAAAAGTAAATGTAAAATTTTCTTAAACACAATGTTACACTTCATTATCATTCAGAGAAATTTACATTAAACCTCCAATAAGGCACAGTGTTTAACTTGAGAGATCAGTAAAAAGCAAGTTTTATGTACCTGTGAAGCCATGGTTAAATAATAATGAGAGTACCAGCTGTTGCAAACCCCAGTAAAGGGCTCTAAAAAAATGTCAAAACTACCCTATAACCCAACAACCCTGCTCTTCAAAAATTATCATATATGTTTGCCTGTTTAACAGGAAATCTGTGCTTAGTGCAGATCACATCACACTGGAATGAAGGTGAACTGTACAAACTGAAGCAAAAGAGTAACCTTTGTAGGACACACTGTCAGGAAAGAGGAGGACAGGATAGTGTGTGCCCTTTTGCATAAAACAGAAGAAAAAATAGCTCCATCATCAACTACATGGTTCAAACTAACTTGTGAGATGCTTGACAGCCCTACCTTTGTAATTAATACTCAGCTCCTCCTTGCTGTATGTGATAAATAAAAGGATATAAGGAGGAGCACCAAATACTTTCTAATGTCTACATTCCACATCTGATTTGATTTTTTTATATTTCACAGTCCTTTTTTTTTTTTGCTGCCTATAAAGCTGAAGGAGAGAAATGCTTTAATTTCTAATTCTTTTCTAATTAATACGGTCTTTTCTACATGAGCATGCAGATTATCTAGGCAAGCACAAAATGAACTTAGAAACATGTAAGTCTGGGCTGGGGGTGTGGCTCAAGTGGTAGAGTGCAAGGCTGAGTTCAAACCCCAAAACTGACAAAACAAAATAACAAGAAAAAAAAGAAACCCACATTAAGTCATATTTGAAATAAGTTAGACATCTTCCTCATTTCAGAGGATCCCTCTACTGTAAACTCAGTGAACAGCAAAAGGCACTGTGATGGGAAAAGAAAGAAACATCAGTTTCAAAGCTTGAATCCCAGAGTAAGGAAGGTCTCTAGTTTGAACTGGGCTTTAAGTGTTTCCTAATTACACTGGACTAATTACTTAATCATTATAGACCTGTTGCAGCTTCTTTAACACCCCTTTGTTGGAATGGAAGATTATACAAAACACTTATAGATATCTAAATAATTTAGTTTCATGTAGCCTGGGATATTTAGCTTTCAATAGCAAACATAAAGTATATGCAGACATTTTCAAGGTTAACTGAATACATGTCAGAAGACTACACTCTTCTAGATCCTTTGTCTTTTCTGATAGAAAACTGGCAACCTGATTAGCTTGAGTTAGCTTAGACTCACGTAGGCCTCTCCCAACCTTGGCCATCTTAATGACCTCTCACACATAAAAGACAGAACACTCAGACATTTTGTACTAGGACATACAAGTCAGATGTGAGTAAATTCTATGAAGAGTGTGGTAAAAACTGACCCCTAGCTCTGTCTAAAGACAAGCACTGTAACATAATTCAGCTCCACAGTAAGCCAGTGTCCAGCTACAAGCGCAACATACAAACCATTACAAGTGAAGTTCCCACCAATCGTATCTGCCAGCACTTTTCCGAGTTAGGTCCTATTTAATATCACACAGGGAATGGCTCTAAGTGATCTCTCTAAAGTAGAGCAGATTGTAGGTCACCTGGTTCCAAAACAGATCAGCTTACAATTTCTTGACCTAGTGATCTACATCCTAAATTTCAGAACCTATAAGACCCTGTACATTTAAACAAGGGAACCCTTTCAACAATCTGAAAATTATATAGGAAAATGGCATTTGTATCTCCTAAAATTTTTGTGCCTCTCTCATTCCTTAGCCCTTGTTTAACCCTCAGCATTTATTCTAATGAAAACAAGTGAGGCCTGATGAGTACAAGTCCAGTATGATTGGAGAAATAAGACAACAGGGAAGAGTCAGATGATCGAGTCCCAAACAAGTAGGTGCTTCCTTGGTCTTTGCAAGTCATCTTTCCTTGCTCTCTTTCAGCCAATGACAACCCACTTCCAAAGGGCAAAATTCTGAATTAAATGTAAACATGCTGAGGCACTTTTACTATAAAATTAGAAGAATTTAGTCAGCAATTAATATAAATGTTCAACTTAACCAGTTAGGATAGTAAGATTTTTAGGGACAGAGATTTAGTTGTCCCCAGTGTGTTGTCAGGTATAAACTGCAATCATTCTCACCCTATGTTTAGAACTTTGCAAAGAAGAGTTAATTTAGAAATTTTAAGTAGCTAAGAAAATTTAGCAAGCCATCCTTGTATGGAAGAACTATTCTATAAACAAACACTGGTATCTGCTGAGTAAGGTATTCAGTGACTGAAATAGCTGTAAGTGCTGACACAACATGGAAAGAGTGCCTTGATGGAGTTGGCTTGCCATATAATCACTTCACCAGTGGCACTAAAGGACTTAAATTCCAAAACCACTCCTTGGAGGCCACATACTGATGGAGCTGTCCTTGATGGACTTATTTCAACAATTATGTTTAACATTACTATGGGAGCAAATGGTCAAAGAAATAAGGGTAAGAGCACATTTAAGGTATCTGTATTAGTTTAGACAAAGGAAGCATTGCAAAGATAATACCAAAGTACTTGTAACTTAAAGAGTAACAACATTGCTGAACATTCACAACTTACACTTTCAATGTTGTCTGGAAGTCTTTAAGCAGTCTAACTGTACTTTTATTAGAATCTTCTTTAAAATACTCATTAAAATATAATGTACCATGTATGACTATTCAACTGAAATACAGAATAGCAAGACTAAGAAGTCTACAGACACACAGACAGTTATGAGCCTGATACCCATCAAGTACCTACTCTGCACAAAGTTCTCTGAGAACTGGAGGAATTCTACTAAAAGAACACTGGAACTGACTATGGTAGGAGACCCCTTCATGAATAATGTGTGCTAATTTAGACCAAATAAGGATCTTATTTTAAACCCTTCACTATTTTGACTCCACAAAAAACAAGAGACGATTAACAAAGGCTTTTTATGGTTAAAATAGAAACTGCTTTACATATTTTTTAAAAGATATGTTTTAAAAAGCCAGTTCATTCTAAATGAAAGTACACTTTTCCTTTAGGCAAAAATAATAAATTATAATTATTTTACACTTAAAGCTATGCATCTTACAAATGAATAGGAACAGGCTTCATCATTTTCCCCTCTAAAGAGGAAGAATGATTTAGCCAAAAGGATTAATAAGAACTAATGCCCACACAATCAATACTTTTTTTTTTGTCTGCAGTGCTGGTGATTGAACCTGGGGCCTATTCCTGCTAGTCAAGAGCTCTACCTCTGAGCTATATCCCCAGCTCCAAACAAGAAATACTTTTACAGAGTACCTAGTCTCAAGTCAATTTTTGTGAGGTCAATAATGTGTTTATGAAAAACAAACAAAAAGGCTTTTCACTCAGAAGCCAGGAAGGAGTATAATATTCTATATTTCTACTACTATTCTGTTATCCTAAAAGAGTCCTTTCCTTTTATTTTTGACAATATTAAGGACTGAACCCAGGGCCTCTCACATGCAGTCTACCCCTGAAGCCAGGCCCCTGGGCCCTTCTTTTGTTTCTTTATTTGTATTTTTGGTTCTGAAATAGTCTCACTAATGCTGAATTTTTTTTTTTTTTTTTGGGTGATACTGGGGTTTGAACACAGAGCCTCACACATTTGCCAGGTGGGTACTCTACCACTTAAGCCATTCTACCAGTCCTTTTTTGTGTTGGGTATTTTTAAGATAGGCTCAACTATTTGCCTCAGCTGGCTTTGAACTTTGATCCTGATTTCTGCCTCCAGGTAGCTAGGATTACAGGTGTAGGCCACCAGTGCCCAGCTCACTAATGCTAACTTTGCCTGGACTGGCCTCAAACAAGCGTGTGCCACCAGGCCTGGCTTCCTCTGCCTTCTTTAAGGTAATGTATGTTTATGACTTAGATATCTATGATCATAGCTTAATTAGAGATTGCTATGGAATTAAATATCAGAAGCTATTAATTCATGCATGACTGGTAAGCATAATATCAAGAATGCCTTACTATTAACATTATATTACTATTAATGTTTACTATTTGCTCTTTACATTTACTATTACTGCAAACTATTTTTCTTAAATAGCTGCCTGTGAAATTTTTAGAAGCTCCAGCTATGGTCAAATGCAGCTAGAGTTCTGCCATGGAAGGTGTCTGGGGAATGAATCTTAAGAGCTGTTTGTGACTCTTAATACAGGAAAAAACCAATCTGTTCTGATTTTTAAAAGGTGCATAAAAAATGAGTTTCTCACCTTCTGGTATTTCTGCCACCATTTACAAGAATACTGGTCATCCCATGAACCAGGTTTTGAAGGAAATATCTGGCACTTATTGAGAGATTCTAACTGAACTGCAGACATGGTTGAAGGCAACACACATTCAGGAAGAATTTGCACTTTAGCTTGTTGGATTCTAAAACAAAGAAAAATCATGGTGTTCATTTTTTTAAGATAAACTAACTCAAACTATAACATTGAGGATAATTTTAAATACTAAAATTTTATAAGTTTTTTGAAACATTCACCAAATGCTGATGCTAATGTAGAATAAATTTTCAGAAAATAGCTTCATGTTATAAATCATACCAAAGATAACCTAAGGTATAGATTTTTGGTCTTACTGTGGAATAGAAAGGCAAAGCTTTACTTTTCAGATACATGGTCATAATTGATACAAAATTTGTTTTTAAAAATCAGCATACAACCTGACACTGCTTACCTTAGCACTTCTAAACTAATTTCTAAAACATTTTGAGACACCCCAGTCCTCCTAACTCCCCCATCCCTATGCCACCTAACTCTTATGTCCACTCTTTGACATTAATCATCTTACCTAAGGAGCAGGTAGAAAAAGGAAGAGAAAACCACAAAGGAAAGTTGAAATTAAGACTAGAGGATTGGTTAGATGTAGCATTTACTTCTATGTGCATTCCTTTGCTCATTCTCAAACACTTGATGTGAATATGCAAAGGATCAAAAAATGATTTAAGCTCTCAAAATAAAGTTATCATTTTCAAAATGCTACTTGAGACTATCATAATTGCAAACATCATGAATTAATGCAAACAGAAAGATTGTACCTATGAGCTATTTTCCTGAGACATTATATGTCTTTGAGTGTAGCTTCTGAGGCAAAGAGTATATAACTACATTAAAATGATGGAACAAAACACTTTTTGATTGACAAAGTCAAATACAGTTCTCTGCTTCATTATGTTTAAGCTTCCTAAAATGGTCTTTCATAATAATCACTGTCTTGATGCACAAAAAATTACGAATTAACATTATGATATTTCTGTTTATTAAATGAAAACACCAAAGTGTCTCTCAAAATAGCTAGGTATTACTTATCAGACTTTACTAACGGGCATGTTCATGAAAATATTCAGAAAATTTATGTGTACATCACTGTGAAATGTTTTAAAAAAATTACAATGTTCCAACTATGGTCAAATGTCCTTTTATTAATAGAGCTCATTTGAAAAAAAAGATCTAGCTGGCTGTGGTGGCTTATGCCTGTAATCCCAACTACTTGGGAGACGATACTGGAGGACTGAAGATGGAGGCCAGTATGGGCAAAACGTTAGCAAGACCCCATCTCAACCAAGAAGCCAGGTGTGGTGGTGCGAGCCTGTCATCCCAGCTATCTAGAAGGCCGCAGACATAGGGGGATCAGATCCAAGGCAGGCTGTGGGCAAAAAGACAGACCCTATCTGGGGGCAGAGGAACCCTAAAGGAAAAAGGGCTGGAGATGTGGCTCAAGTGGTTGAGGACTTACCTAGCAAGCGCAAGGGCCTGAGCTCAAAAACAAACAAAAAAGCCAAAATCTCATGTTTATTCATTTTATTCATGAACACAAGTAACTTTGTAATTAGATATGTAAAGTAAAAGCATGTACTATTCTATGGAAGTTTTTAGGAATCTGATTCTTAAGATTATTAGTAATTGAATTAAGAATTATACCTTACTATTATGATAAAAGCATTAATGTTACAGAACCAGTGACTTATAGATCACATCAGCACTTCACCTGCAATACCAGCTGTCTGAACTGCCTTGTGGTGTTCAGTGATGCCCTTCCTGATTTGAAGGCTCCTGCACAGACACAGGCCTGGTTCTTTACCCAGAAGTTGACGGTGTGTTTAACCTAAGCTAGTTATATTTCTTCCCAAGGCAGTTGTATTATGATTATAGCAAAATAATTCATATGTTATAAAAACAAGTGAAATATGAGAACAAAAGTAAAATTGCCTCAATAAACATTAAAACAAAAAGCTACTTTCAAATAAGATACAGACAACTCTAATATTAGGGGGAAATGTACAAATCTGGAAGAGTTCTGCACTCAAACTGCCTTGCTAGCTTTAGAATCTCTTAAAAAAACAAAAACTAGAAGTACAGACTGTAGATGGACAGTGCACAACCACAGCTGTTTCTAACCTGCAAACCCACTTCTGTGCATATGTCTGTGCTTTCACACCTAGACACTTTCAGTTAAAATAAAATGTTTACTGCATGTATATCTAACTTTTTGACTAACAATTACTAGTCTCAATAATGATAGATAAGAGGTCTTCTCTTGTTATGTCATGTTAATCCTCTCCTTTTTCTCTAAGAAATAACAATTTCTGAAGAATCCTACACCGATTCAATGATACCCTTCTACGTTGCTATGAAAGTCCATGTATTCAGAAAATGCCAAAGAAATAAAGGATTCTTAACACGGGTAAAGTAGCAGCATACCTTTTACAGATGAAGCATCATTTAGGTAAAAGACCAATGGATCTTATGATATACTACACAGGAGAAAAGTAAACCGACTTGAGTTTCCAGTGTGTTATGGAGAAATTGTGGTATAATGGATAGAACACTAGTTTTGAAGTCAGGACCTACAATCAACCAGTCAACAAGGTGCACTTACTATTTAAATGACTTTAGGAAAGTCACTAAACCTCTGTAGCACTTGCCTTCCTTACTTGGAAAAAGAGAAGGTTCTAGATTTTCTTCACAGTTTCTTTTATTTCACCACTTTTAGTGAAGGTGGTTACATGATGGCAGGAGTATGTGAGAGGGGTGGGGGATACTGGAAAACAGCCACAGGAATCTCACTCCACAGAAGCTTTTTCACTTAGAGACAGAAACATCTTTTTGAGAGTCCTTAATAGGTCTGTGAATTACTAGAGAGAACGTGCCCTTTCCAAGTCTATCAGGATGAAGCTAATCTTCACTACAGTCAAACCATATTATTTCATCTGTTTTCATACTTAGCAATCTACTGCCATCTTGTGCTCAAAAGAGTTTTTACACAATCAAATAATGAAGTCAACAAAATCTGATAACTACACTGTCCTAATTCAATTTCTTTTCATAGTTTCTGGAAAATAATATTTAAAATTAATCAAATAGTGTAAGCATCTGGATAGAAAGTAACTGAATTAGCAAAATCCACAGTAACAAAACAACTGGCTAATTATCATAATGCAGAACTCTCAGGAGATCATCATTCTAGTCCTTCATGTAACATCTGTGGTCCTAAATGTAAATTATAATTAAGTCTCAGTCCTTGTTTGCCAGTAGTTCATCTATTGAGGATGATAAGCATATAACCATTTAAGGGCTACAATAGTTTGCACAGTGAATATTCTGGGGAGGTACCAGAAGAGAACTAAACACTTCCTGGAGGACTGGCAACTCCATCACACATTCCCCTATGAAATCTCTGGTCCACAAGGCTGCTCAACCCACCTGTATGTAGTTTCATAAATGCAATAATCTGAATTCACTGTGAACAAAGCAAAAGATTTCCTGCACTCACGCACCTCACTCTTTTTAAATCTTAAGCACACAAAACCCCAAACATTCCTGTGCTCAGAAGATGACATGTGAAACACAGAGGTCTGTTGAGGTTTTCACCACTTGCCACAGATCAGAGAGAGTGGAGTGAGACCCAGGAATTGCTAGCTGTAAAACTTCACAGGTGATTCCTATGTACCAGAGATGAGAACCACTCTCTTAAGAGATGACATACAATGATAAAGACAAATGCTTTGATGCATTTGCTTTTTTCCTTTTCTTGAGAGGCTGAATTAAGGTGAATTGGATTTGGTAACAACAAAAGTGATATTCCTTGATCTTTTGAAAAACTCTAACCACATGAACTAATGAGTAATTGCTAAAGCAGTGTTCTCAAGGAATTTCCAAACTTTATAAGACACAGAGAGACATTTAGTAACATTGCAGATGGTTACTAAAAGTTTGGTACAGCTCAGATGGAACAGTAGAGAGAGAACCAGCGTGAGTGCTGCCAGCCCCATTCCTGTTCTGGTGAGCACACCTAGCGCTCACAAGTCTCTGGCTTCCCTAACTTCTCATGCTCTATACAGAATTCAACTATTCCAAAGAAGCCATACCCCAAATGACACTTCCATTTGGATTTATATTACTGTTCTCAAGTCTGGAGGGATATGAGAATCACCTGGAAATCATTTAAACAAGATGCTGTGCTCTCACCCCAGGCTAAATCACCCTCTGGGGATGGGAGATGGGTTGAAACTCAAGCTTCTACAGTTTTAAAAACTTCCCAGGTGATTCTGATGCACTTCAAGGTTGGAAACCACTGGCCTATACCTTAGAAGGGAAAGAGAACTAAGTTAAAACTTACAAAATATGAAGAAAATAGAAAAAACCAAAAAAGCTATTTCACTGTAAGATGCTCACAAAAGTTTAAGACATATGGTATTTCTTACCCATCTGACTGTGTTCTTAGCTCAAGGACTTTGAACCTCTGTCTTCCAATTGCTTTCACTTTTACTATTTCAATTCCAAATTCTTGTTCTTCTCGATACGCATATATCTCTGCTGTTGTTCCAAACTGTGCTTCCCTTTCCTGTATATTACTTCCAAAGTAAAGTTTAAAAGGAAAGCGTTTTGAACATTTAATTTTCAATTCACAATGTTGGCAAAATCAATACATAAACACTTTATAGCAATCAATCCTCACTGCAAATCTGGTATAATTTTATTTTAAAATCACATGGGGCATTTTCAAGGAGTCTTCAGTATGTACAATTAGAGCAATTTAGGGAAAGAATAGAAATGATACAGGACTAGAGGTTTAAAACTATCATTTCCCAGCTAGGCATGGTGGCTCAGGCCTGTAACACCAGCTACTCAGGAGGCAGAGATAAGGAGTATCAAGATTCAAGTCCAGGCCAGGAAAAAAGCAAGATCCCATTTTCAACAACCAAGCCACTCGTGGTGGCGCACACTTATTGTCCTAGCTACTCTGAAGGATCTCAGTCCAAGACCAGCCCAAGCAAAAAGCACAAAACCCATGTGAAAATCAACTTAAGCAAAAAGGGCTGGAGGTGTGCCTCAAGTTATACAGCACTTGTCTAGCACAAGGTCCTGAGTTGAAACCCCAGTACCACCAAATAAATAAATAAACTCTCATTTCCAAAACTAAACAATTTGGCAGTACTGAAGATTGAATCCTGGACCTTGTACATGCTAGGCAAGCACCCTACCACTGGAACCACACCCCCAGCCCCTTTGTTTATATTTTCTTTTTGAGATAGGGTCTGGTTGACTTTGTCTGGGCTGACATGAACTCGAAATCCTCCTGCCTCCACCTCCTGAGTAGCTGGGATTATAGGTGTGTACTTGTGATCAGTGCTCTTTCACTTTGTTGCGCTGCTTATCAGCACCACTGTACTTCCTGCCTCTGATACAGATTTCTTCCATTTGCCACAGGCTACTTGAAGTTTAGCTTCAATTTGCCACTGGTTTGTACTGGTCCAACTTATGAATTTTGAGAGAGAGAAAGAAGAAACTTTCTTTTGGAAAAGTAACCCTTTATGTTAAAATATAAAAGCCTTATTTCTTTTAGATAAAGACAGTTTTGGAAAATAGATTCCATAAATGTTTCTCATTAAATATAATTGAATAAAAATTTTTCAAGAATCAGAAAACTGTGCTGGGTTATGGCTCAAGCAGTCTAGTGGAAGTGGTAGAGAACTTGCCTAGCAAGCATGAGGTCCTGAGTTCAAACCCCAATACTACAGGGGGAGAAAAAAATGAAGAATCAGAAAGCTAATTTATGTGATGATAAATGACTTAGATGGTAATAAAAAAAGATACTGCAATTTGTACGTTTAAGCTTTTACTCAACAGGATTCTTTACATTCTTATGCCACATCTCCTATACATATAAAATTAGTCTATTTTGTCTTCAACATTGACCTCGGCCATGACTACACACAAGAGGGATTGTGTTAAATACATTTACCTAGTTTTTTACCTGTATGCAAGAACTGCAAAAGTTCTGTCTTTCTGAATTAAATTCCGCACCATACTGACATCTGGAGGGCTAAAAAGCCGTAGAGGTAAAGTCTGCCCAGGAATCAGGATCATCATCACTTGTGGCAGCACTGGAATCACCTGACAGCTGTCATCATCATGCAGAGTCCTGCCATGATACTCCTCCATATCTGAGCCCAGATACTATTCAATAAAGCACAGAAAATGTCATGGCAGACACGGAATACAAACATAACAGAAATCAGATTAAAAGAAATGTAAACAGAGTACAAATATTCATTTACATAATAAACTTGATAAACATTCTACATGAAAAACTATTTTTAATAGAATTTTTATCGTTAGAAGTAGAATTTCCAATCTTTTATGAAAAACCTTTCACATACACACAAACTAAAGAAAAATTCTGCAGTTCAAGAAGTTTTATTTTGACCTAGATAAGAAATATCTCTATGTGCAAATGTCACTAATGACAAGAATCAAATATTGATATGTAAAACAGGATTCAGATCCTAGAAGTACAGAAAATACAAACATAGTAGCTCCATTACTAGGAAAACTGAAGAAGGGTGACAACTCAAAGAATTAAATTGAGATATAATATTAAGCTGCTAAAAAAAAATTAAGGCTATTTGTTTATCTACTGGAAAACAACCCAGGTCCTCATCTACAATTTCAAGTGTGGTATAATGTGCAGTAATGCTAAAATCAGTCACTTGATTTTTAGCAACTTTTATCTGTAGTTAAATGTATATCTACTATATTAGATTGGTTACTAAATTACATACTGTATGTGAGGTTGGCAGACTGGTGTCAAAATTTATGATGTTTGGTTTTTTGGCTTCTTTGCTATCCTGGTCTTCAACTTCCATTTCAATTTCATCTTCTTCTTCATTCTCTGCAGAAGTACAATATTATTTTTTAAATGAGATGCAGTAAAAACATCAAATCTATGTTCCCCTTCAAATGCATCATTCCTTCTTAAGAAAAGCGGTTCTCTGGACACATTTGGTACTCTCTACAGCACTGTGAAGAGGTAGCCAGAGGGCTGGAGTCTACACTAGAGATCTTTTTCTTCTTTTTTTTTTTTTATTTTAGAATAGTTTAAGATTTACAGAAATGCTGGAAAGACTGTATAGTGTTTTTGTATGCCATACTTCCATTTTTCCTTATAGTTCACATTTTATATTAGTATGGTACATTTGTTATAACTAAGGAATCAATATCAGCATATTACTACTAATTAAATTCCACATTTTATTTAGATCTTCTTTGTTTTACCTAATTGCCTTTATCTGTTACAAGATCCCCTCCAGGACACCACATTATGTTTAGCTGCCATGGCTCTTTAGCTTCCTCTGGACAGGAGTGTTTGTTTAGTTTTCCATGCTTTTGATGGCATTGACTATTTTGAGGTCTCAGGTATTTTGTTCAGTATCCCTCAATTAGAATGTTTGATTCAATTCTCACTATTAGACTGAGGTCATGTGTTTTGGGGAGGAGGACAGAAATACCATTTCATCACAACACATCAAGGGCACATACTATCAAACTGACTTATCATTGCTGATGTAAACCTTCATCACCTGGCTGTGGTTAATATTTGTCAGGTTTCTCCACCACAAAGTTACTTTTTTTCCTTCTTTCTCATCGCGCTCTTTAAAGCAAATCACTAGGTGTAGCCTACATTTAAGAGGTGAAGTGTGGCCAAACACCAGTGGCTCACGCCTATAATCCTAACTATTCAGGAGGCAGAGATCAGGACGACTGTAGTTCAAAGCCAGCCATGGGCAAATGTTTCCCAAGACCCTATCTTGAAAATACCTAGCACAAAAACAAGACTGACAGAATGGCTCAAGTAGTAAAACATTTGTCTAGTAAATATGAGGCCTGGAGTTCAAACTCCAGTACCACAAAAAAAAAAAAAAAAAAAGTAAAGTGTTATGCTCCACAACCTTGCAAGGAAAAAGAAAAAAATCTAGATAAATTGTGTGAAATTCTCCTGTATAGGAAAATTTCTCTTCTCCCTTGCAAATAGCTAATTTTGACACCTTAAACAACATATTCTACCTGATTAAACATTAGCTTCCTCATCTGAAGGAATAAGCTGGAACAAGCCAATCTCTGAGGTGCTTTCCAACTCTTTAAAGATCTGTTAATTAAAACTTAAGAAAACTATCATTAAAACCTGGCAGAAAGAATTTCATAGCATTTTTCCAGGACACCACTTCCCTGGCTGTCACTATCCTCTATTTTAAAATGAAATGTTTGCAATCACTTTCATACAAATTTTGCTTTGTAAGTTTAAATTTAAAAATAAAGTTGGCATGAAGTTTAAAACATATTTTAAAGAAAATATCTTAGGGAGTTTTTCTCGGCTCATCTACTTTAAACCTGATGCTACCAATGACAAGGATGAAAGTCAGAAAAAGCTACACTTCTGTATACAGATGCTACTCTATAAGTGGAAATTGGTGCCCTTCATGCCAACTAAGGGAAAACTTCCCCTCCTAGGATTCTCAGTCAGGGTGATTCTACCCCTTGGGTTATTTAGAAATGTCTAAAGATATTTTGGTTGTTACAACCGGGAAAATGCTACCAGCAATCTATAGTAAATGGTCAGGGATGCAGCTAAAAACACTGAACAGGGCACTCCTCACAACAAAGAATTCTCTAGCCCAAAATGTCAAGTTTCAAGGTTGGAAAACACTGGCCTAGACTAACCATAAAGACTTAATGAGTCTCATTTCTGACCTCACAGCTCATATATATTTTTAGAAGTCACAAATAAACTTCTAAAGTATATAAAGTGCCATTGCAAATCAATCATTTCTTTCCTTTGTGCAAATCATTATTTAAATCAAACCATCTCTAACTGGTTTCCCTGACAGAAAATACAAATGTTTTACACTGCCTGGCACTTTCTATGTATTCTTATAAATTCTTAGATAGAAAGCATTGTCAGACACTGACATTATTTCAACAAATATGCAAACAGCCAATGATCTAACACTTCATACATATTTTTCCTAAGAACAAAGAAGTTTCATCAAGAGATAATAAAGAAAAAATTAAACTGATGAGACTATAAGATGAGAGCCTGCAAGGCAGGTGCTCTACTGCTTAAGCCAGCCCTTCAGCCTGAAAGTGTGAATTTCACTAGATGTTTAAAGACACCCCCCCTTACTCCTCTACCACAGCAAGCTTAAAACATTAACTATTACCTCAAAGACTGGAATAAATTTTTTAAATTCACATATTAACTCTGACTACACAATATGGCTTAACCCACATCCCCCACGTGTCTGTTTATCTATTAATATTTCATTCAACCAGGACAGATTCTTCACATCTCAAATATTAATCAATTGCCTTAGCACTTAAAGAAGATTACTCTTCAAAACAACTCTTATTACAGGGATTTATGGACAACCCAATTTTTCTCTACAAATAAGATTCTATACTATATCTACAATGTCTCTGGGTCCTCTCACTTCTGGTATTTTTTCCTCTGAGACAATACACACTGACTGTTCAGAGCCACCAGGGTGAAGTCTGATGACTCATCTCATGCAGGAGCACTATGTGAATGCCAACAGAGCATCAGTATCCCTCTTTTATTCACTGTTCTCCCTGAAACACTGGATTTGGCATATACACAGTGGGGCTGAGGTCTCTGAAAAAAAAAAAAAAAACAGCTCAGCTCTTTCCATTGAAGGCTGAGACACTTTCCTTTATGTCATTTCAGCTAGGTTGGCTTCAAGTACAATCACTGACTGACTATGGATAATTTTTACAGAAGAGGTGCCTACATATGGTGGGCATGCACTCAGTCTCTTTGCTTTTTGAATACATGCTACTTCCAAGGAACAAATTAATACTCGAAGCACAGCTTCCCTTGGCAACTACCTTAAATCTGAAACTGTTTCTTGGCAACCCACAGGAAAAGCCCGACTCCTATAGCAAGAAATGCATGTTCCCCAAAAACTGATAACCAACCTATTTCCTAAATCTTATCTTCCACAACCCCACTGTAAGTGTACATTTTTGGATGTTTACAAATCTGCATCACAAGTCTCTTCACCAATCTCTCTGACCCCTGAAGAACCCTCTCTGAAGAACCGTAACAGAGGCTGGGGTGTGGCTCAGTGGTAAAGCATAGGCAAGCTGGATGCCCCAGGGATGATCCCAAACATTGCCAGGGGGGGGAAAAAAGATCCCTAAGAACATTCATTTATTGGTTCTTAAATCAATAGCCTCCCCTAGGCTGTGAACCTCCTCTTTTCATCCCCACAACACCTGACATGCCGCCTGGCATACAGGAAACGTCTCAGGTAAGCATTTGTTTGGCTGAAACACTTCTTGGAGAGCACCTTTGGTCTACAGCATCCTATGAAGAGTTTGAAATTATTTCCGCGCCCATTTTCTATACAGTACTCCAACATAAGGCCAAGGTCTAAATTTTCACAAACCATTCAGGAAGGAAGAGAAAAACAGACTTAAGTATCTCAAAGTCAGCGTACTGCTACGTGCCTAGAAAAGCAACCACATACTGCAGAGAAGGGGCTAAGAGGCACCAGCGGTGCTGCAAAGACCAAGCCGCCTGACGCTGCAACTGTGTGACCTTGGGCGAGTCACTGAACTCATCTGTCCACACATTTCTTGCCTGCAAATAAGGATCTGAGTAGTGCCATGGAAAGAGGGAAGGGAGAAATGCATGCAAAGCGTTCACTGCAGGGTGAGGTGCGTGCTTCACACACATTAGCTGTCACTCTATGAAAGGATACATAGACGTCCAGGAAAAATAACGGCTGCTAACACGACTCGGTCCCCGGCGTCGCCCAGGTCCACGGCACTTGCGTGGAGCTAAGCTCAGAACATTGGGAAGGATGGAGACGACGGGGGTCCCCGCCCTCCGAAGCGAGCACCGCTGGCCCCCCCAACACTGTCGCCCACAGCACAGGGCGACCCGGCGCCGGGGAGAAGAGCCGGGATTCGGGCTATGCTCGCGGCCGACATAACGCCGCCTCTCGGTGCGGCCCGCGCCCGACCCGCTTCCCCGGCCCCGCCGTGCCCCGGCCGGCTCTAGGTCTCGTCCCCCACCCGTCGCTAGGGTCCTGCCCCGGGAGGTTACCAGGCAGGAGCGGCAAGTGGTTGCCCATGTTGTGCGCAGCGTCCTGCGGGTCTCCCTCGTCGGCCATGTCTGTTTACCCGCAAAGGACTCTGGGACAGGGCGGTGCCGGGGACGCCGGGGGAAGGTCTGCGACGCGCTGCCGCCGCCGTGCTCCGGGGACACAGCGCCCCCTCGCGGCCCCAGCTGGCCAAGGCGAGGATGCCACCAGGCTTGGGGTTGAGCTGAGAAGAGATGGCTATGCACAGTCCTTCATGACCGCATGCCCGCCATTAATGTTGTAATCAAAACGTTTTTACATGTGGAGAAGACTCCGTCTTCAGTCTCCACTTCGTTCTTAAAGGAAAGGGGTAAGAAGCAAGCAGAAACCTGTTTATGTAGCGTTCGTTTCCATTCTTGAGAAATACATAAATGAAAATTCATCAGATATTCCAAGAGGAGTTGGAGTATAGCTGATTTTCTTTTCAAAATTTCGGTACTTCTCAGGTATGATCCAAAATTCACGTGTATTAATCTGAAGTAGAGATTAGAAAAGGCCTATACTTAGTAAATAAAATTGTCAGAATATAATTACTCTGACTCATGATGACTTCAACTATGTAAAAACAGGCCAATATATGCCCAAAAAAGATTAAAATATGCAAAAAGAAAGATAAATTAGTTATAATGGTGGGATTGTGACTGGCAATATTTTAAACTTTCTGGAGGGTGAACAAAATTTTTCTTAGAGACTTTTCAACATCATGTTTTTGGTGAAGGAAGAAAAGTAAAACTCTAGAGACTCTAAACTAATGAATCTGAGGTCTAAAAAAATGGTTTTTTCAGAAAATTGACTTCGTAAAGCATCAGTGGTGAGTGGTGAGAATAGCTGCCTTCCAGAGAATTGACCTCAGTGAAAAGTCACAAGCTGAAAACAACCTTAAGATAGAGAACCTTCAGCCAATTCTTTGGGGTTTTTTTGTTTGTTTGTGTGTTTTGGTAGAACTGGGGATTGAATTTAGGGCCTCAGGCTTGCCTAACTTACAACTTGAGCCACACTCCAGTTCTTTTGCTTTCATTTTGTTTTTTAGGTAAGGTCTCCCTCTTTTGCCCAGGTCTGTCTTGGTCAGTGATGCTCCTAACTCCACCTCCCAAATAGCTGGATTACAGACAGGAAACACCATATCCAGCCGTTATTCTGCCTTCTGTCTCTTAGTTTACTTTCTGTTGTTGGTCAAGTCACTTACATCCTCAGGCCTCAGTTTACCCATGGGCAAAATAAAAATGGAGCAAACAGTGTTCCATATTGGTTGTCATAAATAATGTCTGCAATATTAATGGCAGCATTGCCTTTTATGGTTTGGTTAATAACAGTTACATGCATTATTATGAGTTAATGGACTTAAAGTGATCATTCCAGTTGGTTTTTAAAGGATTATTCTATTCCAGAACGACAGAAAGGAAATGCACCATAGAACAATGAGGAAAAAGTCGATGTGTGAAAGAGAAAGGACACACACATGCACACACAGTGGCACAGCATGATCATTCTACGGTTTGTAGAATTTCAATAAACCATGCTCACCTGTAGCAGAGTTTTATTTAACAACCAGCATATGGCTTCTAACTCTCTTGTGATCCTCCCCAGAGATGGCACCAGAATTGTTGTCTGAACCCTGGGTCAATCAAGAACTTGCTAGACAAGGAAGGATAGCTGTGAGCCTGGTGAATCCATGGAAATGACTGGAAAAGTCTTAGCCTGCTCTCTCTCCTTCTGCACATTACTCCAATGTCACTGGACCCACCATCTATGTATCTTTTACTCTCCACTCTCCTCTTCCTCACCTCCATTGATGTTCTCCCTCTTCTTCCTCCTTCACTTTATTCTCCAGCATTTACCAGTCATCCACACCTTCAGCTTTCAACAGGGATCACAACAGATGATCACTGAACAAAAACAGCTGAGCAAGAAGGCTTCTCAAATTAAGCCCTGGTTATTAAAGCCAAAAAGAAAACATGATCATTTGCCATTTTTTAATATGGCAACTTTATCCAGAAATAAGGTATCATCTGCATCACATGTCCCCTTGCTTGCACAAAATGCTGATAAGGAGCTCTGCAAACTAGAGGGAAAAGAACTATCTATGTCCATAGATCATTGTCATACAGCTCGACAATTAACTTTAATAGTACGTAGGCATGGCTGGTATGAGATAAGAAAAGATGGAATGCCAAAGCCCATTGCTCTTTCAGATATTTTTGCTTGTACACAATGTTAGCAACAAGGAACACACATACTGGAAATATTCATATCTGCCCCCGTTGTAGTTTCTCTCCATATATATTTAATATTATGGACTGTTATTTCTTTGGTCTAAGCAGTTCACTATCTGTTGCCTGGATTATTGCAATAGCCTCACAGTGGTTCTAAATTTCCTCCTGTGGCACTACAGAGTTCATTCTGAATAAATCTGTGTGCTTTTAGTCAGATTGTGTGACTCACTTACTCACTAATGCTCCTTGCCTCTTCATTTCACTGTGAGGCACTTCCTTGTGGTGACTCTTGTAATGACGAGGTCCTGCTCCAACCTCACTTCACCACTGCTCTGTGGGGTCGTGCTCTCCTGCATCCATGCTGGCCTTCATGTTGTTCCACAACCATTCAGCAGCCACTTCCCACTTCAGGGCCTTTGCGCTTGCCTTTCCTGTTGCCTGAAGTGTTCTTCTTCCGTGTTGATACATGACTTGCTCCCTTATAGCTTTCAGGTCTCTGATCAAATGCCCCATCCTTAAGGAGTTCTCCCTGGACTACCGAATATAAAATTGCAACCCTGCTCCTAGTCCCACCACTTTCTGTCCAACTTGTCTGCTCAATGTTCCTTCAAAATATTTATGAACTTCTCAAATACTGTGAGGCTTACTTTTCAGAGTGGTCTCATCCTTAGTCCCTCAAGAACACAAGATCTGCAGGAGGGGTGGAGATCTTGGCTCCCAAGAACAGTTTGTGGTGTTCAATGGATACTCAAAATGTTTATCTAATGAATGAGAATTTCGCCTTTGTAACAGACACTGGCAATGACCTAGCTATCCGGTCACAATTCTTCTTTTCTTCCTTACTATGAACTCTGGTTTTGTTTGCAGCAACACTGCCCAACCCTTAGGGTCAATGCTTCCTCCAAGGTCCTGGATAGCTCAGTCGCCTTCCCCGTGCTGCCTTAAAGTTAATGGTGTCACGTGGCACAGATCTGGCTGATGACACACAGAGGACATCAGCTTGATTGCTTTGGAGAATGATGAGAGGGGAAGATAATTTCTGGAAAAGATTTCCCTTAGTGAACAGAGGTGACAGTTTCATGCCTGCTCATTTTCCATGGGATAAAGATGAATACCTCTGCTGGTCTGATAGATAAAACCAACTCCAAATAGTTAAAATAGTTTTTTAAAAGAAAGCATGGGTTTTAGAAAAAGCAAAAATATGACTTTCAGGCATATTCTGTTAGCACTTTTTGAATAGATGAAGTCATTGATACAGGAACAGCAAAAATCTGCCAGTTGTTTCATCTTTGAGGCCAAAGCACACATAAGTGACTGATGTATGTTATCCTAAGAGCCCTTTCCTCTTTAAGAGCAGTAGTTCCTTCTACCACTTCATGAGACAGAGATCAAAAACGCATGACCCAATAGCTAAATTTATGTCAACTGGCCTGTGCGGCATTTTGAGTTTTTGAATTGGATGCCGATGTTTAGATATTGAAAAGCACATTACAAATATTCTTTTTCAGTTTCTTTGTAAAGATAGGAATATTTGCCCATCGTTGGTTGGATTCATGCATGGAAATAGTTGTGTGGAACTATTCAATGGGCAGCCCTGGTATTCAGAGACCCCAAATAGCCAAGGTGATATCTGCCTGGGTCCAGTTGGTATCTATGTTTGCAAGTTCTTGTGTGGCTGTATACATGCCCTGATTTGCCCAGGACAGCCCTGCCACCAGCAAAATAATTACTAGTGCACCTCCTTCAACCCCCTCCTGGATCCATTCTCCACTATGCCAGTTTGGACTTTAAATTATGTGCGCATCCTACATGGAAAGTGACAAAGGTGCGTGGAACACAGTGCTGGGCCACATGGACCTCAGTGTGAATTGAAGAGTCACATTGACATTCAACTGCTCTTGAGAATAAAGAGCCATAGTTAGGTACCTTTAAATCCTTGTAGTTCTGTGATTCATTCAGAAAGGACCATTTTCATGAAGTTCCTTTGAATTGTCTGAACTATGATGTCATGCTCTTAAAAGTCTTTAGAATGAAATCTCTCTAGAGACCACAAACAGCTTCCCCAAATTTGTCCTAATGCAGAAATCTTTAAAAATTTTTTGGGGTACTGCATGTCAAGAAAAGTAGTAACTTTTCTTGTAGTAAGGTACATGTAATTAATGTACCTTATATTTTATTATTTTATCTCTCTCTCTCTCTCTCTTTCTTGGTGGTATGAGGGTTTGAACTCAGGGTCCCCTACTTGTTAAGCAAGCTCTCTCCCCCTCAAACCATGGCCCCAGCCCTTTTGGCTTTAGTTATTTTTGAGTAGGGTCTCACTATTTTGCTTGGAGCCAGGCTCAGATAGTGATCTTCCTACCTATGGCCTCCCATGTAGCTGGGATGGCAGATATGAAACACCAGACCCAGTTTATTGGTTGAGATGGGATCTCACTAACTTTTAGCCCAGTCTGGCCTTAAACTGTGATCTTCCTCATTTCCATCTCATTAGTAGCTGGCAATATAGGAATGAACCACCAAGCTTGGCCTACATATTTTCTTATCTACTGTTTACTGTCAAGTGTTGGGTCTGGCAGTCATCACTGTGAGATGTATACTTCCATATCTCATCCTGTAAAATCCACTTACAAGGGAATGAAAGATGGATCTTGTCTGCTTTATACAGGCCTAGAGGGTAGAAAGCTAGGGAAACCCACTCTGTGAGTGGGAATAAAACCAGAGGTAGTAGGAATATTTCATATCCCCTTCAAAATGTTGACAATTTTATTAATGACTCACATTCATATTTCAGTAATAGGGTGGATAATTTGGGATTTGAGAAAGTACCTTTA